GAAGTTGTTTTGATGGTCAAATATCTTCCAATATATCATCTCAACATAAAAATGCATGGACTTGAGAAAAAAACAGATTTCAAGTTTTAGAAATAGTGCATCTTATAACGTAATTTTTTACCGTCAATTTTTAGGTAAATCAAGTTTCCATATATCTGCTCGATCTATGCTTTTTTTGAAGCTTTAAATTTATAATTCAAAGATGAAAACATATTTTAAGGCTATTCAAATATTTTCAGTATTAAAACTATATTTCTTGACACTATTTGAAGGTGGGCTCTAATTTGTTGTTTAGAGCCTCGGCTCTATACAAACCTCACCCGAAAACAAAATAGACGATACACAAATAACAGAACGGGAAATAAGATATTTACAATCAAATTGATTGATTAAATGTAACTAACATCATTGATCCCTGAATTATACACATCGAAACAATTAAATAATGTAATTAGTCTATGATTACCGGTGAAAAATCATCTTCATTGACAGAAAACCATGCCCAATTATTTTCAGAAAAAAGGTAGGCGCAACTAATTCCAGCTATTATTTTAATTTTATGCCACAATATAAAACATGACAGCAGGTAAGGGATTATAATCATCCATACTCATGGGGCCTACAAGATGTTTAAAAAATAAATGAAAATCTACCCTTTAAAATTGAAAGAAATTGAATATTTGAGCCCATATGGTCTCGGAGGAGCATATCCTAGATCCCTCCTGGTGAAACTTCTTTATTTTCAAGACTCCAAATTTCAAGGACAACCTCCTCAACCTAACAATCAATCTCAAAGAAAAACAATAGTTATAATTATATTATAAAACTTTGATCAATTGGGCAGATTGTCCATGTCGGATTGTTGGATTGATAATTTGGATCAAGTTTGGATCAATTCAAATTTATGATATATAAAATATTTAGAAGTGCAATGAAAAAAATTAAAATTAGATTTTATGTGGTGAATATTTAGAGACGGCCTAAGAAGACAATAGATTATAAAAAAGGAAAAATATACTCTCTTTTTTTTTTTTTGAAGGAGGGGGGAGTGTGTGTTAGGTCAGAACCAACCCATGAGCCAAACCATCCCATAAACAGTTTAATCCCAATTCCCATCCAAATCAGCAATTCGCATAAGAAATTGTCAACTTTTAAAACACTCGTTATTATAATCACATGACCTATACGTGTCTAATGAATATAATGCCTTATTCTTGATTAGAGAATATGCATTTTCTTTAACGGTTCAACCCCCGTATTTGGTAACTCAATCCAATTTTAATTTTCATGAAAATACTCATCCATGTTATTCTGAAGTGTATTCTAAAATTTAAAACTGAGAAGATCCTCATGTCTTTTGCTTGAGGTAGTGGATGTACAGCAAGCTCCCGCAAGAGCATGCTATATTCAATGTAAGTATATTATGTTTTGTATTTGTTAATAAGAAAAACAATAAAACTTTATTTTGGGCAAACATATTATACCCCCGGCAAGCTTTCTATGCTTCCTATACAACATAAAACTTATATACTTCCCCTTATCCAACTGTCCATTATGAATGGAAGGCAAAATTTGCTCTAATCACAATGTCGCATCTCTACACTATTTTATTTTTATTTTTATTTTCTATAAACTATTTTGACACTAAATTTGGACATCCAATCCCCTATTAAACTCACTCTAGCAAAAAATAGAAAAAAAATATTTTCAATAAAATACAATGACCAAAATATCCCTGAAATTTTTAAGGGGTATTGTGGTCATTATATTTTATTGAAAAATTATTTTTAATAATTTTTATAAGTGCGCCCCAATGAGAATATGACACGTACTAAATTTCATATTCATACATTTTGTATAAAAAAAACTAAAAATAAAATACTTTGTGACGTTGGATTAAAGATCAAACAGTGAGTGGCTCTCTGGATCAAAATTGGATGGTTGGATGGTAGGGGAAGCATAGATCTTATATGTTGTAGGGGAAGTATATAAACCTTTCCCTTAAAGCCCCACCCATCTATATTTTTCTTAACTCCCACATCTTATGGCACGATCTAATGGATGGCTGTGATGGCTCTATAACCATAATTTCACACCTCTACATTGTTTTACTTTTAATTTTTCTACAAAACATTTTGACACCAATCTTGGGTCATCCAAACCTCTATTAAACTCACACTTGTAAAAATACAATAAATTAATGATAACATAAAATGATTAATTTTAGGAGTATCCCAGGGAGATGATGACACATGCCAAATTTTATATTCATATGATTCATAGAAAAATTAAAATTAAAATACTATTAGGTGTCGGATCTAGGTCATACGGTCAGTGCCTCACTTGTGATATTTGGCTGAAGCCATCCCAACCATCCATTTAGATCAGATGGCTAGGAAATAGGGGATGTAGAAAAAACATATATGGGTGGAGAAGTACATTAAGTTTCCCCTTTTATTCAACCAATCCTATTATATACAGTTCAAATTTTCATTATTTTCCCCTCTGTTAACATTACCATAGAATTATCATTTCACCCTTTGTGATTATTTGGGTACTTTGTTATTTCGTGAGATCGTATTAAACTATGACATATGACAAAGGTATACATGCCAATAGACCATAATTATCATAGCAAACAAGTGGACATGATGGAGGCCCACACATGGGGCAAATTAACCTTGTTTTCCACATTTAGAATTACCATCATGACACCTCTAGATTCAAGGTTTAAAATGTTCAAAATTATTACATAAACGGTCAAAGATATAATGCACCAGTAGAAAAAAAGTAAACATATAAATTAATTAATGTGATATATCGCCTAGATAATCCCTTGATTTGATTTGATTTTGCTATAATATGTTGGATCTTGAATTTGGCACCTTTGCTACCCTAATTAATTAAAATATTAAATGTAGTGTTTTGAAATCCGACCAGTCACCCACTAGACCAATCTGGATCATCGATCCAAGAAGTATTAGTTTGATTATTCGATGTGCGAATTGATCAAAAAATTTAAATTACATTTTTAATTTTAAAAATAATATATGAATGAACAAAAAGAAAACAAGTGGGAATTAGACAATTCTATTTGAAATAATCATACAGTTTTCTGACGGAACCAGGCAAGTTAATTTGAACCGAGTTGAAGCCTAGCAAGAATGTGACTTGTCAACCATTGATTAAGGGGCAATTTTTTAATCACTTAAGAAAATTGAATCTCATGACTTGCCCAGCAAGAAATCATTGCGCCATATAAAGAAACATTGCACTTAAAAATAGTACATCATATAACATAGTATCTGGACAATCAATTTTCAAGATTTTTATATTTATAGATCCATTTGATTTGAATCATTTTTAAAATTTAAAAGTTTATAAATAGAGATCGATATAGATTCTCATAATATCATAAAAATTTATCACATGAGAAAGTTTGGGGTGCACCTTAATTTGATTGTTTAAAGTTAGAACCTTATGCAAGCCACACCCTTATGATCATTCGGAATAAGGGTATACTGGTTATTTCTTTAAACTTTGGGGGTATAGTTGGGACTTTTTGGATAGTCTAAGCCAGTAGCTTCGCCTACTAGAGCATCTAGCAGACCACTGTAGCCAATCGGATTACGCACTAAAATACGGATAAATGACTAAAAAGCCCTTATATTTTTGTATCCCAAACACCATAATCAATTTGCAAGTGCCAAATCACTCCTTTTTTCAAGCAATTCACCATCATTTATAGTTTTCAACTTTCTAATAGTAAATTAGAGAGCGTAATTTAAATACGTAAGCCCTTTTTTTTTTTAAAGAAAAAAAGTTTAATGTATCATTGTTAATTAACAAACTTTGAAAAATAACCATGAGGAACTAGTTAATTAGAGAGCAAATTTTAGGACGTAAACCCATATTTTTTTACCGAGTATTTAATAGATAGCAAAGTTTGATTCATTTGTTAATTAAAATACTTTGAAAAATAACCACATGGAATATTTCATCTTCCTCGTTATTTTTAAAAGGGAAATTGTGAGGATATTGCATGCCAGATGTGTTAGATTCAATCTGAGCATATCCCACTGTCAACATGTATGGGCAGCTTTTCATTTTTTTATTTTTTCTATAAATCCTTTTAGATTTTAATTGGGCGAAGAGGTACACGAGACTTACACATATAGTAAAAAATATTTAAAATAGTAATATGTAAAATAAGAAAAAACAAATATACCAATATTCGTGTTGGGTAATGCAAACAATTCAGATTATTAAATTTTAACCATCAGGCATGTACAGTAGTATAAGCTTGATGGCTTACAAAACCAAGTTTACTCTAAAAGCGCGCTAACCCAAAGTATTATCATGAACACAAGAGACCACATTTGACTATTTTGGGTGAAAGAGAGATAAATAGAAAGAGGCAAACATTTGCATGGAGAAAGAACGAGATAGGACCATTATATCGAGCTTTGTCCAAGCATCTTTCATCAAAACCACCAACACATATGTTGTAGATCAAAATAGTAAAAGACTACTAGTGAAAATGACAATCTTGATATACATATATATATATATATATATATATATATTATTTATTTATTTATTTTATTTATTTTTTTGAATGTGACATTCTTAACATTCTCTCTGCCCAACTTTAATTAGACAACCTAAGGCAGCTCTGAATCCAATTGCTGTCATATAATTAAAAAAAGACAAAAAAAATCTCAGCCCTAGGATTTGATATCTGACGTTTTATGATGTTAAACTACTACTAGATGTATTTAATATTTTTTTTAAACTACTAGTTCGAGCTTTAACAGGGTGCTCATGTCATTTACAGTAAAGGATTGGGCAAAGTTGCGATCAATTATTCGATGCCACTGGTTAAGCATGCAAATATGCATTTTTTGGTTAATCTTAATCGGCCAATGTATGCCAGCTCTTCGAAGCCACGAGAATCAAAGCTAGAGAGAGAGAAAAGAGAGAGAGTGAGAGAGTCGAGTGTTAAGAGAGAGAGTATTGGAAGGGGAGAGAGAGAGAGATGAGAGAGAGAGATTTATATTTTGTCGGCTGGTCTGAAGTATCCACCATTATTTAAGGATCGCGGCATCGATGGAGCGGCGATTTCCGGTGCTTGCCGCTAAGCCGATGAAGACCGTCGAACCAAATCCCGGCCGAGTTAGGCGGTTTTCTGGCGAGGGCAGGTGATTTTCCGGTCAAGTCAGGAGGTTATCCGGCCAAGTCGCTTGTTACAGTGACGAGCCGCTATATTTGTCGACAGTGTGTGCGTATAAAGCTCGAATTCTTTGTGTCAATGGTTTCTTATAGGTAAGGAATCAACTTGAGAACTTTTTTTCTCAGAGCTTTAATGCCACGGATCTGGTTATCCTGATCTTTTATAGTCTCCATCAGAATAGATAAATTTATTTGTTTCTCCATCGTTCCGCGCAGTTCAGTGTTCAAGTAGCTAGGATTATTTTTTGATTCAGAAAGTTCTTGTGGTTTGAGAAATGGAAGTCTCGATCTCGTTATATTTTCGAAATTAACTTAAAATGCTGCTCAATTTTGTAGCTTTTTGGTTTTTTTGTGTATTTTTTACTGAAGTGGACTGCTTATCTACTGTTCACTACTTAATTGAGAATTTTGGAATGCCGGGCTGGACAATTGATCTGAAATGTTTATTGGAGAATGATCTTATTTGTGGTCAAATCCCTGGACTTTTCTGGAAATTTGTCTTGAAGACTGTTGATTACAGTTGAAACTCGTTTTTTTTCAAGAGTTATGTACAGTTCAGGTCCCAACTAGCTCGATTTTGTTAATTTCAGAATGTTTTTGAAGCGTAGCAATGTAATTAGTCGATCTGGTTTATTTTCTGGAAACTCATTTTAAATGCAGTTCAATTCTTCAATTTTTTGTGTTGAAATGGATATTTTTTGGCCTTATTTGCAGATAAATTTGGAACCTAAAATTTTAAGCGATTGATGTGGTTATCTCTTCCAGTACTCTTCTTTGAGGTAAAATCTCACCTGATTCTTGTGGAAATTAGTCCTCAATGTTGTTGATTACAATGAATGCTCAATTTTTTCACAATTATTTTATGTTCTGCCTCAAAATACTTTGGACTTGGTCCAGTTTCATATGATTTTCCTAGATTTAGGTGCAGACCCATTGATCTGGTTTATATTCCGAGAATTAGTCCTTTATGTGGCTCCATTTGAGATTTTGTTGCTCTATATGCTTTTGATTAGAAATGGGTTGGTTACACCATGTTAAATGGATAGTCTGGCAATGCAAGGCTAGAGCTTTTAACCTTATTTAAGGAATTACTAAACTCTGTGATTGAATTCGACATTCTTTACAAATCCATGTTTCCTAACACTGTGTTCTAATGGCGGAGTGGTTGATCTAGTTCTTTTCTAGATATTATCATCTAATGGCGAGTCTCTAGTTATTTTTTAGATATTATCATCTAATGGCGATCCCTTTATGTCTTTTTGGAACTGGCTTCCATCACACTGTTATTCTCGTACACTGTTCATCACACTGTTATTTTGGTACACTTTTGTCTTGAATTGGGATCAATTCGGTTCATATTGAGGTCATTTTCTGTGTGATCTGGTTCTCATTCCAAAATAAATCTTTAATTAAGATTACCATTAAATTTTTTTTGTAACCTTTGGTCCTTGATGTGACATCCATTTTGAATGAGGTGTATGTCTAGACTTCGGACTTTGAATCTGTTCCTGCAAACCATGCTAACCTATAGTTGTAAAATATTTGTATGCTTTGATTTTGTAATCTCTTGCCATTTAGATGACTCACTAGTTTTTGTGTTCTAATTTTACTACAAGTGATGGTTTGCATTGTGATGGATATTACTTTTTTCTGTTTTAATTTTTTAATCATTCGTTCATAGTTCTGAGTTCGCTAGTTTCCATTAATCCCTACCACAATGCAAAGCACTCTTGTTTTGGTTTGAAGGTGAATAGACCTATTTCACTCTGATGTAACTGTTACACCTATAAGTTCCTGCTTCAACTGTCATTTAGCAAAATCATTCTGTATTCCCTTGATAAGGAACATATAATTGATCCAGAGTGGATACACATGCTGTATTCCCTTGACAAGGAACATATAATTGATCCTTATCTACATGTCATGTCGCACAATTCACATTGTGTATTAGAGATGCATCTGAGAGACATTGTGTATTAGAGATGCATCTGAGACATCCTTTCCTCCTGCATGTGAGATATTCCTCCATCCCTCCCTCCTTCCCTCTCTCTCTCTCTCTCTCTCTCTCCCTCTCACTTCTCTCTCCTCCTCGCTCTCTCTCTCTCTCTCTGTCTCTCTCTCTCTCTTCCCCCCCCCACTTCTTTCTCCCTCTCTTGCAGGAGTAAGTGTCCATGGGTGTTTTACTATTGACAATTTGGCATGCATATTGCATTCTTCCAACTAGCTGGCTTTGATATGACAATTTTGTATTCAGTGGAGCTGGAACATGATGCCTAAATTGACATAATCTGAAAAACTGTCAGTTTTTTGAATCTGCAGATTTATTCTCAATGGATTAAAAGTTAGAGGTCCTGTCATTGAACATTCAAGAAAGCAACAATAGCTTTGCAGACTTTGTGCTTAATACATGTTTTGGAGTTGAACGAGGGATAGGAGGAGCAGTGAGTTTATGATATCAAGTAAATAATGTCCTGATTTCGAAGTGGAGTTAGGCTTGGAGTCGTTGGTTGGTCTTCCATTGAGGAAGCTCATCCCCAATAAAAAGCAGAAAATTTGTTGAGAGGTCCAGTGGTCAAATTGCTTAAAATTCAACAAAGATGGCAACAACACTAGCTTGGCGATTTGGGAATGGGAATGGCAATGCCCATGGGTCAAATGATCTGGTATGCTTCTCTCGAATTGGTTAGTTCTATTTGTTTTAAAACTTGGTATTATGTGCATACTTGAGAGTAATAGTTAGATAGTTTCCATTCTGTGATGATTTGATGAAATCTGATAATTCTGAATCTGTGTAACTAATGTTCCTTGTAATAAGGGACAAATTTGGAGTGTTGAACCAGGTCTCACACTATAGACTCCATCAAAACAGCTGTAGACATGGCTACCACATCAATTTTTTTACTTTCTTGTTTATTACATGCATTGATTGAAAAAGCGGTCCACCCATGCCTAGGCGTCCGTTTAGGCCTGGGTGGACCAACTAGGCGGATTGTCCATGGGCACTCGCCTAGGGAGAGTGCCCAGGGACCCTAAGCGCCCTCCTAGTACCCCGCCTAGATGGGTGCCCAGGATACCTAAGCGGGCGTCCAAGGGACAACGCTTGCCTAGGTGCAAAAATACCTATTGGGTGGGGTATTTTTGGTGTTTTCTTTTGTTTGAGTTATAAAAAATGCATGAATATGTATTTTTTATACAAAATCTGGACCTAAAACAAGATTATTGGACACCTCTTGCCCCCTTTTGAACCTAGGGCGCCCAGGTTCTGGGCGGCCGCTTTGACGCCGCCCGGCATTTTTTGGAACACTGGTAATATATCTTTTTTTTTTTTTTCAAATTCCTGTATATGGATATAACAATGACTATTGAACATCCATTTGCTATAATTGCAAATAGCAGCCTCTATTACAGTAGTCTGCATGGTGTATATAGATTATGTATATAAGTGTTTTCTTTATGTGCATAATTACAGGAAAAGCGCGTTGAATCAAAACTCCCGGACTCGGAGCCTCCAACTCCACGTTCTTCAGTGAAGATCAGCTCAAGGTATGTTTTGAATGCATTTCAATGCAATCATCAATGAATATTCCTGATATGCTGTATGATACTGTCTCATCCCAAAAAATCTACATGGTAATTATATTTCCAGTATATGTTATTTCATCTATCCAATATTCTTTTCACCAAACTTCTAGTTGCAAAAAATAAACTTTTCACTTATCTTTTCATCAATTGCCCAAAACAGAAAAAAAAGAGAAAGTAGTTTTGTAGTCACCAAGGTATACATGAAGTCATCTTGAATATCCTCATAACCATCATCAGAGAGTCTTGTCCCAACTATTTGGGTCGGCTAAGTCATCTTGAATATCCTATGGTTTCAAATTAAACACGTCATCTGGTTTTAAAAGGCTAGAAGAGAATTGTACTTATATAACTACTTGTCAAAATAAAAAGATTGCTCCTATTGAAGTGGCCCTTTATGTTAATGACTGGAATTAGTCTATCTGTACCTGGTTTGAATGTGGATGCTGGGCAATTCAATCAGTTCTAGTTTTTCTCATACATTAGACCTCCAAGGATAGAAGCATTACAACGATGTCAAAATTTTGTCACAATTTTCTTACTTTCTAACATTTCAATAATTTTTTGTTAGTATTCTGTTTTCTATATAGTTATGCAATGTTTTCTAATTTATTTTCTCATACTTTTCCATGCTTTGTCCTTTTTGACTAGTAATGAATGTTTTTCTATGTTTTGCAACAACATGCCATGTTCGTGCTATTAGATAAGTCATCAGTAGCATTATAATGGAATAGGAATTTGTATAATACAGAATGGTCAGAAATGTAGGACTGTTTTGTTTGTTGGAACTTTTCCAATGAAGTATGAACACTGCAAAACTTGGTAGCTACTATTCATAGATTCATTGAATTAAAGTGGAACTGTCTGCAACAATTATGTGTAACTTGATTATAAGATTTTCAGACTTTTTTGCTTATTCTAGGATTATATCTGCTCCTCTTACTCCAAGAATTAAGCCTGTACTTATTTCAGCATTGAATTGATTATCTCGGGCTAAACTTTTTGAGCATTAATTGTTACGTTACTTGCACAGCATGAGCATATAGTTGGAACTCCTTTGTAGGAAATACAATCTGTCCAAGGATAACTTTTTTAAGAACCGTCTAACATGAATTTAATTTATCTACAGGGATCGCCAAAGTAGTATGGAGGACCCAGATGGGACACTAGCCAGCGTGGCCCAATGCATTGAGCAGTTGCGTCGGGGTGCTTCAAATGCTCAGGAAAAGGAAAATGCTTTGAGACAATTGTTGGACCTTATCGATACCCGAGACAATGCTTTTAGTGCGGTTGGGTCTCACTCCCAAGCAGTTCCAATACTTGTTTCCATTCTCAGATCAGGATCACTTGGGGTAAAGATACTTGCTGCTACTGTTTTAGGCTCTCTTTGCAAGGAAGATGAGCTAAGGGTAAAAGTATTACTCGGAGGATGTATCCCACCATTACTAGGTCTTCTGAAGTCCTCATCAAAGGAAGGTCAAGTTGCAGCTGCTAAAGCTATCTATGCAGTCTCTCAAGGTGGTGCAAAGGACCATGTTGGGTCAAAGATCTTCTCAACTGAAGGTGTAGTGCCTGTTCTTTGGGAGCAATTACAACCAGGTCTTCACATTGAAAACTCTGTTGATAGTCTCTTAACTGGAGCATTGAAGAACTTGTCTACTTGCACTGAAGGATTTTGGCCAGCAACTGTACAAGCAGGGGCAGTTGATATATTAGTGAAGCTGCTTGTTAATGGACAGTCAACCACTCAAGCAAATGTGTGTTTTCTTCTAGCAACTATGATGATGGAATTGGCATCTGTTTGCCCTAGGGTTTTGGAAGCAGATGCAACTAAACAACTTCTTAAACTAATTTCCCCTGGTAATGAAGTGTCTGTTCGAGCAGAAGCTGCTGGTGCTTTAAAGGCTCTTTCTGCACAGTGTAAAGAAGCAAGGCGGGAGATTGCTAATTGTAATGGTATCCCTGCTTTGATAAATGCAACAATAGCTCCGTCAAAGGAGTTTATGCAAGGGGAATATGCACAAGCCTTGCAAGAGAATGCAATGTGTGCTCTGGCCAATATATCAGGTGGTTTGTCCTACGTAATCTCCAGCCTTGGAGAAAGTCTTCAATCATGCACTTCACCTGCCCAAGTTGCTGATACATTGGGGGCATTAGCCTCTGCCCTAATGATCTATGATTACCAAGCTGATTTTACTAGAGCCTCGGATCCATTGCTTATAGAACAGGTGTTGGTTAAGCAGTTCAAGCCCAAATTGCCATTTCTCTTGCAAGAACGCACAATAGAAGCACTTGCTAGCTTGTATGGAAATACCATTCTATCAAAATTTCTTAAGCATTCAGATGCCAAACGCTTGCTTGTTGGTCTTGTAACCATGGCAACAAATGAGGTCCAAGATGAGCTGGTTAGATCCTTATTGATTCTTTGCAGCAATGAAGGCAGTCTATGGCATGCACTCCAAGGTCGCGAGGGTATTCAGCTGTTGATTTCTCTTCTTGGGCTTTCTTCAGAGCAACAGCAAGAGTGTGCTGTGGCTTTGCTTTGCCTTTTATCCAATGAAAATGATGAAAGTAAATGGGCCATTACAGCGGCTGGAGGAATACCTCCTTTAGTTCAGATCCTAGAAACAGGATCGGCAAAAGCAAAGGAAGATTCAGCTACAATCCTTGGAAATCTCTGCAATCACAGTGAAGATATCCGAGCTTGTGTTGAAAGTGCTGATGCTGTACCTGCTCTGTTATGGCTGTTAAAAAATGGAAGCCCAAATGGAAAAGAAATTGCAGCAAAAACCCTAAACCATTTAATCCATAAATCAGATACTGGGACCATAAGCCAACTCACCGCATTACTCACCAGTGACCTACCTGAATCAAAAGTTTATGTTTTGGATGCTCTGAAAAGCCTTCTTTCTGTTGCTCCCATCACTGATATATTGCATGAAGGTAGTGCTGCCAATGATGCAATTGAAACAATGATAAAGATATTGAGCTCTACAAGGGAAGAAACTCAGGCAAAATCAGCATCAGTACTTGCCGAACTCTTCAATCTTAGGAAGGATCTTAGGGAAAGTAATGTTGCTGTTAAGGCCCTTTGGTCAACTATGAAGCTCTTGGGCATTGAATCAGAACAAATAACGACGGCATCTTCTAGATGCCTGGCTGCAATTTTTCGGTCCATAAGAGAAAACAAGGAAGTAGCAGCTGTTGCTAAAGATGCTCTGGCCACTTTGGTTGTTCTTGCTAAGTCTGAAGTTTTGGAGGTGGCAGAGCAAGCAATTCGAGCTCTGGCTAACCTTTTCTTGGATAATGAGATCTCTGATAATGTGGTTGCTGAAGAGATAGTTCTACCCATCACAAGAGTTCTACATGATGGCACAATGGATGGGAAAACCCATGCTGCTGCTGCTATTGCTCGTCTCCTGCACTGTGGGATTGTTGATGACACACACTCTGATATTGTGCACCGTGCTGGAACAGTGCTTGCACTTGTGAACCTTTTATCATCATCTAAGATTAATGATGCTGCCTCATCTGAAGTGCTTGAGGCCCTTGTTTTGTTATCTAGGAGCAAAGGATCCACTGGATATAGCAAACCTGCATGGGCGGTTTTGGGTGAAAACCCTCACACTATGATTCCCTTGGTTTGCTCTGTCTCTAATGGAACTCCTACTTTACAAGACAAAGCGATAGAAATCTTGTCAAGACTTTGCAAAGACCAACCGGTTGTTTTGGGGGATTTGATAGCGAGCACTGAAGGTTGTATTGCTGCGATTACAAGAAGAGTGGTTGACTCAAAAAGCGCAGAAGTGAAAGTTGGGGGAACTGCTCTCCTTATTTGTGCCGCCAAAGAGCACCACCAAAAAGCAGTGGATGCCCTCAATGAATCAAACTTATGCTTTTATCTGATTAAGTCACTTGTCGAAATGCTGGATGCAGAGCATTCACATACTTATTGGAATGCTGGGGATCATGAAAGTAAATCAAAAGACATTTGTATTTACAGGGGTGCAAGGGCGCCACAAAATGGAAACATCCAATCTGAGATGGATACTAGTGTAATTTTTGGGGGCACTGTGGCCATATGGTTGCTTGCTATACTCGCTTGCCATGACAACAAAAGTAAAGTTGCCATTATGGAGACTGGAGCAGTTGAAGTTCTTACTGATAAGATCTCAAAGTATTTGTCCCAAGTTATTCAGGTACTAATCTGAACCATATTTAACTTTTACTGTGTTTTTTTGAGTTGTTTTGTTAAGGGGTGTTATTGGATCTAGCTTAAACTCTATTCAATAGTCTGGATATGAGGGATATAGGATCAAATAAGTAAATGCAAAACTTTAATAACTGAGTTTATATAGTATTCCCTTTCCTGTTCATCGATTTATTTTTTTGCGGTTAGTCAATGGCCTTGAATGTCTTCTTAACAATTTATTGCTTATTATTAATCTTAAGCCTCATACCATTGTTCAAATTATCTTTCTGCAGACTGATTCTAAAGAAGATGAGAGTTCATGGGTATGTGCTCTACTTCTTGCCATTCTTTTCCAAGATAGAGATATCATACGAGCACATGCAACCATGCGAGCCATCCCTGTTCTTGCAAGTCTCTTGAGGTCCGAGGAGTCAGCTAACCGTTACTTCGCTGCTCAAGCATTTTGCAGTTTGGTCTGCAATGGTAGCAGAGGGACTCTTCTCGCTGTTGCCAATTCTGGGGCTGCAGGTGGGCTCATTCCCTTACTTGGATGTGCTGACGCTGATATCTCTAACCTTCTATTCCTATCAGAGGAGTTCTTACTGGTGCGGAATCCTGAGCAAGTTGCCCTCGAAAGATTGTTCAGAGTTGATGATATCAGAATGGGTGCAACTTCTCGGAAAGCCATACCTGCCCTTGTTGATTTGCTGAAACCAATTCCAGATAGGCCTGGTGCGCCTTTCTTAGCACTTGGCCTTCTAACCCAGCTTTCAAAAGACTGCCCATCAAACAAGCTCGTAATGGTTGAAGCTGGGGCTTTAGAGGCCTTGACAAAATATCTTTCATTGGGTCCACAAGACGCAACTGAGGAAGCGGCAACTGATTTATTAGGGATTCTATTCAGCAGTGCAGAAATAAGGAAGCATGAATCTTCACTTGGAGCTGTAAATCAACTCATTGCTGTCCTTCGTCTAGGTGCAAGGACCTCAAGGTACAGTGCGGCCAAAGCTTTGGAGAGCCTCTTTTCCTCTGATCATATTAGGATAAGTGAAACAGCTAGACAAGCGGTTCAACCACTGGTTGAGATTCTTAACACTGGATCAGAAAGGGAGCAACATGCTGCCATAGCTGCACTCGTAAGATTGTTACATGAGAGCCCTTCAAGGGCTCTCGCCGTTGCTGATGTCGAGATGAATGCAGTGGATGTTCTTTGTCGCATTCTTTCTTCCAACTGTTCAATGGAGCTCAAGGGAGATGCTGCTGAATTGTGCTGTGTTCTCTTTGGAAATACGAGAATCAGGTCTACCCTTGCGGCTGCTCGTTGTGTCGAACCTTTGGTCTCTCTCCTTGTTGAAGAGTTTAGCCCTGCTCAGCTTGCTGTTGTTCGAGCCCTTGATAGGCTATTGGATGACGAACAATTAGCCGAGCTTGTTGCTGCACATGGGGCTGTTATTCCCCTTGTTGGTCTTCTTTTTGGCAAGAACTACACTCTGCATGAATCTGTATCGAGAGCTTTGGTGAAGTTGGGAAAAGACAGGCCGGCTTGTAAACTAGAGATGGTTAAAGCAGGAGTAATTGAGAACATACTTGATATTCTCCATGAAGCACCTGATTTTCTCTGTGCTATGATAGCTGAATTGCTTCGAATATTAACAAACAATACAACCATTGCAAGGGGACCTTCTGCAGGTAAAGTGGTGGAGCCCCTCTTCCTTTTGTTGACGAGGCCAGATATTAGCCCTGAAGGCCAACACAGTATTTTGCAGGTTCTTGTGAATATATTGGAGCATCCTAACTGCCGAGCTGATTATAGGCTGACACCTCACCAAGCCATAGAACCACTAATCATTTTGTTAGAGTCTCCTTCTCAAGCAGTACAACAATTAGCAGCTGAGCTTCTCTCTCATCTTCTCTTGGAAGAGCATCTACAGAAGGATCCTATAACACAGCTAGCAATTGCGCCTTTGATTCAGGTTCTTGGAACTGGCTCACATGCTTTGCAGCAGAGGGCTATAAAGGCTCTTGTTTGCATTGCTCTAACATGGCCGAATGAGGTTGCAAAAGAAGGTGGAGTCAGTGAGCTATCCAAAGTGATTTTGCAGGCTGACCCCCCATTACCTCATGCTTTGTGGGAATCTGCTGCTTCTGTTTTGGCTAGCATTTTGCAATTTAGCTCTCAAAATGATTTGGAGGTGCCTGTTGCTGTGTTGGTAAGGATGCTTCGCTCTGGAACTGAGACTACCATTATTGGTGCATTGAATTCCCTGCTTGTGTTGGAGAGCGACGATGCTACAAGTGCTGAGGCCATGGCTGAAAGTGGTGCCACAGAGACCCTTTTAGAACTTCTTAGGTGTCATCAATGCGAGGAAACAGCAGCAAGACTTCTTGAAGCTCTGTTAAACAATATGAAGATAAGAGAAATGAAATCTACAAAAGCTGCGATTGCTCCATTGTCCCAATATTTACTTGATCCACAAACCCAAAATCAGCAGGCAAGACTTTTAGCATCTCTTGCTCTTGGTGATATCTTCCAAAATGAGGGTCTTGCTCGAACAAATGATGCTGTATCTGCATGCCGAGCGCTTGTGAATATTCTTGAAGATCAACCCACAGAAGAGATGAAAGTGGTGGCTATCTGTGCCTTACAAAACCTTGTTATGTACAGTCGTTCTAATAAGAGAGCTGTTGCAGAAGCTGGTGGAATACAAGTTGTGCTTGACCTTATTGGTACCTGTGATCCGGATACAGCAGTTCAGGCTGCAACTTTTATAAAACTTCTGTTCTCTACTAATACAATCCAAGAGTATGCATCCAGCGAAACAGTGAGGGCTATAACTGGTAAACTTCCTTATTTATTTGTTACTCCACTTTTATAAGTATGCCTCATTACTTTGTGTATATTTGATGTATAGTTGGTTCTTTATGTTCATATCGATCTCTTTCTGTGGTGGCTAATATCTAATTCTTATGATGTATGAATTGACGGTTCCATCTATGTCTTGGTTTGTTCCAGTATCTCCTGCACATGTTTGTTTCATTGATCACCTTTACACCATATGTTGCTACAGATTTACCATAGCATTTCGATTTGTGATATATGCTACTGCCATTTGGAACTTTTGCATAATCATGTCATATTGGTTATGCATGTGAGATAAAACGTCCCCACTTAGAACAGTTCCCAACTAGATGGTGTAGGCATCAAATTTGAGTACCCATCAAATTCAGTTATAGGCTTCACCCTTTGAAGATCAATGGCAGTTGTCAGAGTTCTTTTAACCGTTAGCCAAGGGGCCCTTATGTCAATTTCTGAGAAGAAATCAGAATCTTCTAGCTAAAATTCATCATTGAAATTGGATGCCCTGGCTTTGTACGATATGGCATACACACATTCCATGCGTGGTACGATAGTATCTTATCCCCTAAAATCTATTATATATTAATGAGTATGCTTGGTATTCTGTTTTTACACAGATCCAAGCATGAAACCAACTTTAATATTTACATTAGTGAGAGCTAAATTTGTTTTTTGACGGTGCAGCTGCTATCGAGAAAGAGTTATGGGCCACTGGTACTGTGAGTGAGGAGTACTTAAAGGCTCTAAATGCACTTCTTGGCAACTTTCCAAGGCTCAGAGCCACAGAGCCTGCAACTCTATGCATACCCCATTTAGTCACTGCTCTCAAAACTGGTACTGAGGTGACTCAAGAAGCCGCCCTAGACTCCCTTCACCTACTGAGGCAAGCATGGTCTGCTTGCCCTGCTGAAGTTAGCAAGGCTCAAGCAGTGGCTGCAGCTGAAGCCATTCCATTGCTTCAATATTTGATCCAGTCTGGTCCACCTCGGTTTCAAGAGAAGGCTGAGCTTCTGTTGCAGTGTTTGCCTGGTACTTTATTGGTTATCATAAAGCGTGGAAATAATTTAAAGCAATCTGTGGGGAACCCTAGCGTCTATTGCAAGATCACTCTTGGAAACACACCACCCAGGCAAACTAAGGTAAGGACTACAGACTCCTCACATTTCGTTTTGTTTTTTTTGTTTTGGTTTGCTGTTGGTGAGCTCAATTATTTATCTGGTTTCCTTTTTGTAATTGAATTTCGGTTTCTTTTTTATGCTTTATTTTGAACCAGCTCCTGTGTTACGAGGGTATACCAATAGCTCTCATGTGTCTGAAAGTGTTTTTGTTATGTTCGAGAAATTGCTCATCATGTCACCTGCTTTTTTTTTTCCTCATCCTCTTTGAAGAGTTTACTCAAGCAACTCTCATCTATTTGTTATATCACCAACTGGTTCATTTCATATTGTTCAGGTTGTCTCAACTGGTCCTACTCCTGAATGGGATGAAGGCTTTGCCTGGGCATTTGACAGTCCCCCAAAAGGCCAAAAGCTCCACATCTCTTGCAAGAATAAGAGCAAATTTGGGAAGGTAAATGACTGATAAACCATGCATATTTTTCCTTTACCCTTCTGATTCCATTCCTTCTTAACAAAAAAGAAACTGAAAAATTAGTTAAAAGAACATGGGAAAAGTGAAACGTGCATAGTTAACAATAAAATATGTCCAACTCCACCTGACTGACCCTCTTATTTCATTCAATGGCAGAGCTCGTTCGGAAAGGTAACAATTCAAATTGATCGGGTGGTCATGCTGGGATCAGTTGCAGGAGAATACACCTTGCTACCAGAGAGCAAAACTGGTGTTTCTCGAAATTTGGAGATTGAGTTTCAATGGTCAAATAAATAAATACCATGAATCTTGGTATGCGATTTTGTCATATATCATAAAAGGAATATCATGTAATTGTCTGTATCATTAGTGGAGAAGAATGTTCTTTACCTGTGTATCTGACATTGTAAATCAGCACAAAAGCCATAGCCGGTTACTCCTTGAGCTTACAGTAAAGCCATCAGAAGAATCCAGCCACAGGATGGGGCCTTAATGTTGTTATTATTAATAATCATTCTTTATTTGTTTTATTTTTGTTAAGAACTTGATGAAAACTGTAACATTTCATCTGCGTGTTATGTAGAGCTTTTGAAGCATAAAGTATTCGGTTTGGGGATTTTCCTGTGACTCTGTTTCTTCACAAATCATCTACTTGTCTCTGAATATGTAACCATTTGAGATAAAATTTGGTGAGAGAAGCTGCTGCTGTCTTGACTCTGGAGAGAGAATGATCAATTTTAATGAGATTTATATTATCATTGCTTATTGGTTGTAACTAACTGGTTTATAAATTCAGAGCAACCTTCTTTTGAAATTTGTAATGTTTTTAATAACCAGTTTAATTATTCTGTTTCAGATTTAATGGATTATTATGCCTTCTAAATTTTTTCACAATGCTTATGTAGACATGTTGAATTCCAGTTCGATTTGTGAAAGATTGCTTGGTGGGCAGGTAAGCTAAATGGCACGAACTTTAACTAGATCAAAATTAGATCTTTTGGCTAGTTAAAAGTGGAAAGTGGCCAAAACATTGGCGGCAAAACTAACCGATATGGCAATAATAACCTGATTTCAACAAATATCAATTAAATTTTGAGCTCTCTTTATAACATGAATTTAAATTTATGTGCTTAAAAGGAATTTGTATCAGAGAGTTTGATGTTTGAATTATCTTTTGATGCCCCAACAATGAGATTGGCATGTTTCCTATCGAGGGATGCTAAAACCAGGTCAATGTAAATTTTGTAAAATTCTATTATAATGGGATGCATATGTATACCTTAGAATTATGGAAAAATATCATCAACATTATCATCGTTAGAGTCTTTTTCGAATTATTTTGGATTGACTACATGATTCTGGTATATCATTATGTTCTATTAAAAGTGATACTCTCAATAAAGAATTATTAAAAAATACAAGACGACTTAGAACCTAGTATGCACAGATATGCACAGTAAGAGTGTAACGAAGCATGCCTCAATCCTTGTTACGAATTCGATGGTGGGCGGTGGAAATCAGGCTTCAGATGAAGATTGGTACGCATATACAAGTTGACTTTGGTTGCCGTCTTGTGGGTGCTGACATCTTTAATTATGAACATTGATATTTAGTATAGGGGTGGGCTCCTGGTGCGTGTGGGGATGCAGGGAGTTCGCCCTTTTGGATCAAATTTTTTTTTACCCAGGTCTGTCGATCTGGAATGCTACCCACCATGATCATGATTGATGAATTTGAAAAGTAAAATAAAGGGATCATGAATTTGAAAAGTAAAAAAAAAAAAAGACCATACTTTTTATGTAAGTTACCTTCAACTTAATTTTTTTTGTCACTTTTTTCTTCAAAACAAACTTTCTATGCAAATACCCTCAAAGGAAAATTTTCATTTTTTTAGACAGAAATGTCTTTCTTGTACACAAAAATGATTTTGGCCAGATTTGATGTTGACATTTAGACCCAGTACCACATTGCCGGGGGCAAACCATCACATCGTCGGACCCATTATTCAAGAAATTTAAGTGCCGAACTACCCTAAGACAACTACCGGACTCGAAACTGACTACTACCGGACCGCCTTTTACATAGTACCAGAGCCCTGGAATCCAGTAACATCTACTGTCAGACCGCCCTTTGCAACGGCTGGATCGCTGTAACTCCAAAATATTTACTGCCAGGTTGCACTTACATATTGCCAGAGCCCTATTTTGGTGAAATCCAGTAACATTTACTACCGGACCCCCTTTTGTAATTATCGGATCGCTGTAACTCCAGAATTTTTACTGTCGTACTGCATTTACCGAGCCCTATTTTGGGGATAGAGGAGAGAGAGGAGTGGGTAAGATACAAGTAATGAAGGGTAGTTTAGGGTTTTTTTTTTAGTTGGGTGTTATTTGCATAGAAAGTGTATTTTAGTTGGGGGTTAATTGCATAGAAAGTGTATTTTGGGAAAAAAAAAGTGATAGAGAAAGTTAGGTTGGGTAAATTGCATAGAAAGTGTAGTCTTCAAGTTTTTTTTTTTCCCTAATGCCATGAAACAATTTATGTCATTTGTTAATTGTTTATTTTAATTCTTCAAAGATTTATTAGATTTTCATTGTTTTTGGAGCTCCAGACCCCTGGATTTACGTTGATTTGGAATATATTTCAGAACCTGAATCCCTCGAGAAATGCATGGGTCCTAACGCACCAAATGCTCAATCACATAATTGGAAAATGGAGCTAGGCTAGGTGGTTAGGGTGGTAGGGCATCATAATATGTCGTTTTGAGTTTCATTCTAAACATATTTAGAGACTCATTCCCCATTAAAATATCTAAAAAAATAATTGAAAAAGAGCAATTTTTACTGGGGATATACTATAAAACTATTAGTACAAGAAGGAATAATATGAATTTTGAGAGTGTGGCAATAAATTTTATCTTGGACTCCATGTCCAGTTAAAAAAAAGGAAGAAAAGAAAGTCATCTTATCGTGTACATTTCCTTCTCATGGTGTTTCACCTCAAGATCCATAGGTAATTAATTTTGCAATTTAAAACAGTATTTTGTAGTTTTGTCAGTCGAATACAGTAGCCGTTGGATTTTCACGTCATAGAACATACATGCAAGCACCCCCTTTCAGTTGACATCCACCGGCTTTCACCTGTCACAAAACACGTGTGAAGCGCTTCATACTTGCTGCATACCGGATATTGCCGGTGACTCCCCATCCCGCCACACAAATAAACGGCCAGAATTCATTGCTATCCACTCGTAGTGCCACGTGTCACGAGCACGGGCCAGAGTGATTACTTCCACTTATCTCTTGCACTCCTCCTAATTGGTGTGAGGCCCTCAGGCTCCAGGCTCCAGCTCCAAGCTCACAGTGTAAGCAAAAAGAGAGCAGAAGAAGAAGAGAGAAGAGTTTGGTTTTGCAGAAATGGAGACTGGCGTATTGACTTACACTTGTGGGACTCTGGTTCCTCACACTTCGAGGCCTTCTTCTACTCCCTCTCTGTCACGATTCATCAACTCTCAAGTAAAAAACTCTCCCTCTCTCTTTCTCTCTCTGTAACTCGGGATTTCTTCAGTGTTTGTGTGCTCCTCAGAAACAAGTTTTGTATTGAGCTCTTCTCTAGAGTGATTGGAATTTTAATGTATAGAGTAACTGGAGGTTTTATTTATAGAGCTCGAAGTGTAGCGCAATCTACGGGGAGTCGCTTCGATTATCACCAAAATCACAGTCGAGAAGAACAGCAAAGGTCGGCGCCGGCAAATCTTCTTCTACAATCACAAGATGCGAGATCGGAGACAGCTTGGTATCTCCCTCTAGGCTTTCGGCTTAATTGCTCTCTCTCTTTCTAAAATGTCTGAATTGATTTTAGTTTTTGGCAATAAAGAGAGTTCGAAAAATCGAAATGGCCTCAAAAAGTGATCAAGAACCGGGTCCGAGTATCCGGTAAACAAGCCGCCTCAACCAGGCAGCTCGACGGGTCTAGGAAGTGTTAAAAAAAAAAGAGAAGAATATAAATCCAAAAAAAAATATGAAAAGCATATTCCATGTGAAGTTTAAAAGTAGTAAAAAATTAGATTAAAATATCGATTTGTGATTTGGGGTCTTTTAAAAAAAAAATTTAAAAAATGAGAAAATATAAAAATAATTATTCATGACAAATTTTTTTTTTTTTTAATCTTTCTGCCAAAATGATAAAAAAACTTTCATAAGTACATTATAATAAATCCCTTATTTTTTAAAATTTTATAAAAAATAATTTGAAATTTTTTTAAAGAATATCCCGTTAGACCTCCAAAACCGGATTGGCCAATTCCAATTTGACCGGCTGAGTTTTGTGAACAATGGTAATGGGCAGGAGGAGTTTCTGACTAAGGCAACCCCCGACAAGAACCTGATAAGGCTTTTAGTGAGCATGGGAGAGGCATTGAGGACCATATCCTTCAAAGTGAGGACGGCCTCTTGTGGTGGAACTGCCTGTGTCAACTCCTTTGGCGATGAACAACTCGCAGTTGATATTCTTGCCAATCAACTCCTCTTTGAGGTACCCATTAACTCTCTCTGTTCCCTCTTCTCTCTTTACTCTTTATGATGTAACTAAATTACTTCTAATTATTGAGAGAGAGAGAGAGATGCTAAGAATGAGTTATGTTTACATGTTCCTTGTGTGAAAGGCATTGAGATACTCTCACTTCTGCAAGTACGCATGCTCCGAAGAAGTCCCAGAGCTTCAAGACATGGGAGGACCCGTTGAAGGTATTGTTAGACCCAATAAAAAATAAAAAATAAAATCAAGAAACAACTTATTCGGATCTATCTTTAAATCGCACGAGGGACTCAAGGTTCCTTGCAAATCCAACGAAGGACTCAAGGTTCCGTGTTAAATCATATTGACCAAACCATCTGGTGATAGGCAACCTTGGGAATCCTCTTTGATGAATCTCATTCTATATTCTTCTCTAAATCTTTTATTTGAGAGGTTAACCTCTTTATATATAGAGAACCATATTTTATAACTCTCACATTGATGGTCTTTAGAAGTTTAGATCCAAATATTACTTCTGTCTTAATTCCCTTAAGTACAGCTAATTAGGATTAACAAGTTGTTACAAAACTTTTAATCCTATGCAATGAGCTAAATCTGTCATTAGTGCACTAATGACTCACATAATAGGATATCATCCATGTATTCCTACAATTCGATAAAAGATATTTAAAAATTAAATAATTTTGTACATCTATAATAATAATAATAAATTCTTACAAAGATCCAAAACATTACTGGGTTTTCCGTCCAATGACATGATTTTCCCTATAGTGTAACATCCTATAAAAGCTCTAAAATTGATCCTAGTATATAGCCTCATATCAACCGCATGTGATTTCACATATACTATGTAACATGGCTTTTGTACCATTATTAAAAAATAAATTCTCGTGGTAAAAGGACCTGATAGGCCACATTTCCAACGGATATGTGATCAACTGTGTACTTATGTTACATTGTTTAGAAACCCACCTTAGGTTAGGTGCTCAGCATTTGCCTGAGGCGGGTTAAGTACCTGGCACGAGTTGAGTGCCTCATAGAGTCCGACTTGAAGGGCCAAAAGTCCTAGAATAATAAAAAATAAATAATGATCGTAAAAGTCAAATGAAGTGAAAAACAACCTTAAAGAAAATATAAATAAGCTTTAAAAAGTATAGAAATATTGATTTTAAAAAATTGATTTATACTTGGGTTTATTTAAAAAATCCCCAAAAAAAAAAAGGGATTATGGCAAAATAAAAGTCACAAATCTTTGCCAAAATTCCAAATTATATATAAAAATTTATACAATAATCCCATATTTCTACAAATTTTTGGGATTTTTTAAAAATCCTTTTATGTGCCTCTAGTTGTACATAAAACTGAGGGCAGCTCGACTAGGTTGAGTCTCGTGATACTAATAATGACACGGATACTAGTGTTTAAATTCCAAATATTAAATTATTATTTTTAGGCAGCACACAATTATGCATTATTTTAAGAAGAGGAAATGAGGGATTTTAGGCGTTATTATAGCAAAATTCCAAGGAGTAAGTGTAAACAAAATTTCAAAATATTTAAATTTCTAAAGCGGAAAGCTATCTTCTCCCATCTCCTATGGAAATAACCAGTAAACATTGTTGTGGATGCTTCATGGGTTTACTCTGTTTTCAACCCACCATCTTTCCTAAATAATTAGTCAATCAATTGTCATAAAGCTTATTGTCTGCCCATTAATGAATGCATTTTTGTTCACAGGTGGATTCAGTGTGGCATTTGATCCCCTAGACGGCTCGAGCATTGTCGATACCAACTTCACAGTTGGTACGATCTTTGGGGTGTGGCCTGGAGATAAGCTTACAGGGGTCACAGGAGGGGACCAAGTTGCGGCCGCCATGGGTATCTATGGTCCACGCACCACCTATGTTCTTGCCCTCAAGGATCTGCCTGGCACCCATGAATTCTTGTTGCTAGATGAAGGTACATAGAATTGTTTACTCAAAAAATAACTTCATTTTCCTTTGGGTCCCCTTGCAACCTTAAACAATCCGCACCTCCAAATTTATCATAACTTCTATTTTTGTTGTCGGGATTATCTTAAAATCTTTTTTCATATCTAATTGGGAAATTTTAAATTCCAAAAATGGTTAAAATCAAGTAGATCTATAAACATATGACAATCTTGAAAATGAACGGTCTAGATAATATGTTGCACGATACATTTTTTTCGGGATTCAAAAACTCTTATTTTTTTTTCATACATCTCGATATCGAGATGATCAATTAGAAGGTTTTTCAAAATTAAAATAACATTTTTGATAGATTTTTGAGGTGCATATATGATTCTACATTTTAAAGTTGCAAACTTATATAAACTTTTCCCTTTTCCTTTTATATTTGGAAAAAGTTTATATAGAGCCGAAGCTCTAAACAATCAAATTTGAGCCTACCTCAAGATTTTTAGTAAAAGTGGTTGTTTTGATACCCAAACATCTTCAAATTGATCATCTCGATATCAAGATGCATGGACATGAGAAAAAAAAACGAATTTCAAGTTTTGGAAATAGTGTATTTTGTATAGCTTTTTTGGACCATCAATTTCAATATTTTCAAGTTTTCATAGATATGTCGATCTATACTATTTTGAAGGTTTAAGTTTTACAAATAAATATGAAAATATATTTTAAGGCTATCGCAAAGATTTTCACTATTGAAACCACATTTCTCAACACTATTTGAAGGTAGGCTCTAATTTGATTGTTTAGAGCCTAGGCTCTATACAAACCGCACCCTTTATATTTTAGGTGATTGAGATTGGATTTTAGCCTTGGGTCTTAATTGTGGGCCTTGAGCTCCAAACAAGGTGCTTTCTTCCTAAAACAATTGTAGGTGGGAATAGAGTGCCTATTTTACTTGGATCCCAGGAACGTTTACCAAACTTCAAATTTAATGTTATTGAAGGTATGATTTTTAATAGAGTAGAATGACATATCAGAATTCGTATGACCGATCCTAATTAGTTGGAAAAAAGTTTTGACACGATTTTTTTTGTTCACCTTCCCTTTTTTACATTTTTTTTTTTTTCTCGATTTTTTCTTATGATGGGAACTCATACCACTAGACCCACGAATGTTTCGTCCATGGAAATTTAGCCTTTTCTAATTGCTTCTGTGTACATGTGTAGGTAAATGGCAGCATGTAAAAGACACCACAGAGATTGGGGAAGGGAAAATGTTCTCTCCAGGGAATTTAAGGGCAACTTCTGACAATCCCGACTATGCCAAGGTATATGCAAGATAAGACAACTTTTGACAACCTATGGGTAAATGGGGGAAAGATGGATCTTGGTGTTAACCATTACATACTTGTAGAAATCTTATAGTTTTATAGGTATGTATGATGGCGCAGAAACTGCAATCCTTCACCTCCCTTTCTGTACTGTAGAACAATTTCCCAATACGATTCCAGGTGAAACCCACAATTGCAGTCCTCTAATTTATTTAAAATAAAAAAAAACTGTTGCTCTGGCGGGGATGATCGAGCACCAGTTACCACAATTACAGTAACAGAGGATGGTGGAAAATGACAGGGTGGACTAATTGTGGTCCTCCAAAACAAACACCCACTTTCATAAACTTTGCCTATAATTATAACATAGTGATCTCTAACTTAATCATCTTGTTCAATTTTGGAGAATCGTATTTTCTATTGAGTAGTGCAATATGGTATATATACACTTGTTTACAATAATTCCAAGACTGTCGAGATTGAGATAATCCGAATTTTTAGAAAATACAACAAACTGCTTAATGTAATACATCCAAATCTATAGAAAGCACGACTAATATTATTCTGGTACGATATCCTATTGAATCTCTAACCAATTGCCCAATACATCTTTTTAACTGGTGTTGTGTTGTGTTCATTCATTCTTGACAGTTGATTGATTACTATGTTAAAGAGAAATACACGTTGCGTTACACTGGAGGCATGGTGCCTGATGTCAACCAGGTTTGCATTTGCCCCCTCCTTTATATCATTACACATGCATGAGAGAGAGAGAGAGAGGGAGGGAGGGGAGGGGGGGGTTGGGTTACATTGGGTTCAATTGATAGATCATGATTAGGGGTGTCAATGGACTCAGACCCCGAGGGGTTTGGATCCAAATATGAGTCCAAAAATTGAACCTAATGGATTGGATCTAGCTTCAAATCTAGGAATTGAATACTATTCAGGTCCAGGTCTCACACTATATTTTTTGGTATAACGAATTCAGGTCCAGGTCCCATATCATTTTTTTCAGGGTTTGCCCGGCCCGGCCCGGCTGGTTATCACCCCTAACCATGATAAATGCAATACAAGATCATATCTATGTATAAACATTTTCTATTGAAACTTAAAATCATTTTGCTTTTTCAGATCATAGTGAAGGAAAAGGGCATATTCACAAATGTGACATCCCCATCAGCAAAGGCCAAGCTTAGGCTCCTGTTTGAGGTGGCTCCCCTAGGGCTCCTAGTGGAGAAAGCTGGAGGATATAGCAGTGATGGCAAACAATCAGTCTTAGACAAAGTGATCAGCACTCTTGATGAGAGAACACAAGTTGCTTATGGGTCTAAAAATGAGATCATTCGCTTTGAAGAGACCTTGTATGGTTCCTCTAGGCTCAAGGCTGGCACACCACTGGCTGCTGCCGTTTAAGCCTTTTTGCCTTTACTTTTTTTAAAAAGAGTATCACTTTATCACATCAAGTTGATGCTTTGTGTCCTACATATAAAGCATGATTCAAGATTTGAAGGTACATTCATTAATGTAAAATAGTGCTCCATTATGTTACAGTAATAGTGCTCCATTATGTTTGAAATGTGGCAATATTGACGTTTTTTAGTGTAACACAACTCATCTTCTTCTTTTATTGGGAAATTTATCCAAATGCCCTTGAGAGTTGAACCGTTTAATGTTTTACACGTTTTGTAAAAAGGTTAAAAATAAATCCCAGTCCTTGAGAAATTTAATGATGGCAAACATTAAAACTTAGGAGGAGCTTTCCACAGGGATAGCATTCTATCCAAAAGGAAATTTATGCTTCTCTTCCCCTAAACAAAATCCTCATCCAAAATTTTAATGGTCGATATTTTTTATGCTCCATTAAGAATCTGAAAAAAGTAAATTAAATTTTAAACCTTAAAATGATTTGTTTTAAGCTTTTGGACAATTTATTTTAATTCCAAGAGTTAATTAGATCTTCGCTATTTTTCTAATGCAAATCGACCAATATGTGAAAATGAAAGGTCTCATACCTAAACCATGACCCCAAACAGAGTTCGCTATTGTTTGTAGAATGTAATAGTTTTCATTGTTATATCATATTAAGATATTATCGACCCCAATTAGTTGAAAAAAAGGCTCTAACAAAGATGATGATGTTGACGATGTAAAAAAAGATAACACAATCTCATAACTTCGAGAAGCACAAAAAAATTGAGAGATGGTCTTCATTTCAACACCATCTCAACTAATTATTGCTAGAGTGGTCGCCATATCTAAGAAAGACTGATTTTCCACACACCCTAATGTTTAAAAATTTCAGCACTAGCAGTTGCTGAGCCATTGATGATTCATGAGAGATGCTGTTGAGAGAGCACAAATACTGCATTTTGGGAGGAGCCTGGGGTTTAGAAAAATTGGGTGAAGTGGGTTTTTGGTTTAAAAGAAGATACTTATCTTTCTGCTTGCCTCAAGTTTGCTTGCTAGAGGCAAGGATACTAGTTGACACTTTATATCCTCTCTTTCTCTTAACTTTTTTTTTTTTTTTGTCAGGAGCAGTGGTTTAAAAAACGGAACGGTGCCTTGGATCGAACATCCCAAAAACCCATCCAAATCGGTGGATCAACGATTCGGATTGAGAATTAGCCGAATCGGTTTGATTAAACCTTAAAAAAATCCAAAATTTTTTATTAAAATCCATCATAAATATTATTTTTTAAAAATCCAATAAAAAATACGGGTATTACATTATTAACTTTAACTTTTTTAATCAATTTACGAATATTGAGATGTTCTTTCCCGGTATGAATTTATGTTAACCATTAAATTTGTATCACATAAAACAAAAAACATAGACTTATCATAGATAAAGCATATAATCATATATAGACTACAATAAATAATGGATTAACTCGATGAAAAAATGGCCACTAAATCTCAAATTGGTGGAAAACCCTAATCCGCTAAAAAAAAAATCATTACAACCTAACTAACTATAATCCAAAATTATTACAACCTAACTAACTACAATTTATATATTGAAATGAAAATTGTTGGTTTACATTTTATTATAACAAATTCAAAATATCTTATAATATCATTTAATTTAAAATGTATTATTGACAACTGTAAGAAAAATAGTACATTACAAGATTTATAATGCAAATATAAATAAATAAATAATAAAATATTTGGTTATCAATATATAAATTATTAGAATGCGTATCAATTTTTTAAAATTATAATATTTTAGATTTCTAGAATAAATTTAGTGGAAGAGATTGTTAGAGATGGAGAGATATTTCAACCTTATATGAATCCTATCTTAAAATTAATATTCTTAAATTTTTGACAAAGATTGCCATATTATAAAAATAAAAATTATAATTAGATAAGTTATTCCTACTTTGTATAAAAAAATATTTGTTGTATTAAGAAATATCGTTTATTGACAAGAAATACTTATTGTATTACCTTTTTTTTTGACGAGAAAATATGATACTTGTTGTATTTACCTTTTTTTTTTTTTGACAAGAAAAAAGAAGAAGATATTATATTACATTTTTTTTTGCTTGTTGTAATACTTTTTATTTTTTTTCAAGAAAATAAGAAAATGATACTGCCAGTACCTTTTATTTTTTATATCTTTTATTTTGTTTTTTGACAAAAAATACTTGTTTTATTTTCTTTTTTTTTTTTACAAGAAAAAAAGAAGATGTATTGTCTTTTTTGTTTTTTAGCAAGAAATGCTTGTTGTATTACTTTTTTATTTTTTTGATGATATTATTTTCTTCTTTTTAATTTTTTTTTAAGACAAAACTAAAAACCTATCTTCTTTTTATTTGTTTTTTTTTCTGTGATATTTATTTTATTTTATTTTTAACACAAAAGTAAAAACCTAAGATGTATTGTCTTTTTTGTTTTTTAGCAATAAATGATTGTTATATTACTTTTTTATTTTTTTGATGATATTATTTTCTTCTTTTAAAATTTTTTTTGAAGACAAAAGTAAAAACCTAGCTTCTTTTTATTTGTTTTTTTTTCTATGATATTTTTATTTTTAAGACAAAAGTAAAAACCTATCTTCTATTTATTTGCTTTTTTTTATGATATTATTTTTTTTAAAATGTTTTTTGGAGACAAAAATAAAATTACACAATAGCATCCCTAAAGCTTGAATTCAAGCTTGGTAAGCTTGGGACATTCCAAGAAGAAACCTAATTGATAACCACCACAACCATCACACACTGTTGAACACTTTTTTGCAATAATTGTTTATATGAACAACTTTTCAACATTATATCACTTTGTGTAAATCCCACATCAAAGAATCAAAGAAAGTTTAAGCGCTATAAATACCTAACGTGAATGTGAGAAGGGGTACGCTAGCGGTACTACCTTTCATTTGAACGAATCACACAATTCAAAATTGCTGGAACTCTCTCAAAACTCCATCTCTTCACACAATTCAAAATTTCCGGAACTCTCTCAAAACTCTATCTCTTCACACAATTCAAAATTGTTGGAACTCTCTCAAAACTCCATCTCCTTCACACAATTCAAAATTGCCGGAACTCTCTCAAAACTCCATCTCCTTCACACAATTCAAAATTGCCGGAACTCTCTCAAAATCTCCATCTCTTTACACAATTCAAAATTGCCGGAGCTCTCTCAAAATCTCCATCTCCATCCCTAAAACTCAAACTCCATCTCCCTCTCTAAAACTTTGTTTGGGTTAAAAATTTAAAAATTTATGGTCAAAGGGGTCCACGGGTTGGAAGTTAAAAATAAGATCTCTCTCTAAAACTTTGTTTGGGTTAAAAATGGTCAAAGGGATCCATGGGTTGGAAGTAAAAAATAAGAGATAAAGAGCTATTTTTCCTTTTTAAAATCCTGGTCAGGAGTATTTTAGGCAATTAATCAATAGTAAAATAAAAAAACATGTGATTGAAACAAAATTGGTTATAATTTTTATTGAAAATATTATTATGTGCATGACATTTGACATTAGTTACATAATAAATGACATTATTTTCTTATATCATTAGTGATTTATGTCTAAATTAAGATGAATGCTTTATGGAAAAAAGTGAAGCCTCACCTCAAAACTCATAAAAATTATTGTTTTGCTATGAGAAAACCTAAAAATGGATCGTCTTGACCTTAAATCGTTATGGTTGTCAAAAAAAATAAAAAAGGATTTCAAGTCCTAAAATAGTATATACTTAACATATTATCTAGATCATCCATTTTTAAATATTCGTGGATCCACAAGATTCATACTATTTTTTAAATCACAAATTTCATAACTAAGGGTGGAAATAGCCATCCTCGGGATTTCCCATGCTGTAGTAAGAAACTACATCCTTACTGTTATGTTAGGATCCTCTTCAAAAACTATGTATACCACCTCTCCAATGAAAAATATCATTACTCGAAGAATTTTCGTATTAAAAGCTAATAAGTGTCAGCGGAATGTAGAGTTA